CTCCGTTATCTCGACAAAAATACACTATGACAGACCAAAAGAATGTAATCTTAGGATCATTATCTCTTGAACAGACTTACAGGTCTTTGGCAAACTTCAGTGTTTACAAAAAGTAAAGCCTCCTTTTCTTTGTTATTAATTTTCCCAATACACTGTGATAGACTGACAGGCCTGTAGCGATATGTCAGTCGTTGTATACAAACTTTAAGTTGTTATTAGTTTTCTTAATTTTGCCAGAAAGAACTCGGTTATTTCAACAGTCCAGAACTCTGGATAGCAAATTAAGCAAACAATAGATGCCTAGGAAACTAATAATAAAACTACTATCCGGCGCAGAGAAACCAAGGTACCTTAAAAGATAAAGTCCAAATTATCAGTAAGATTTCACGATAGCTACCTAGGCAAGTGGTTTTTTTTCTTCTTCTTCTTCTTCTTCAGGACATTTGTACGTTAGATAACTACTAAAGCAGCTAGCTGTTGTTTGAAGTACTCTTGTTGTTTACATGGACGACGAAGAATTTTAAGAATGTAGATATTAAGCTTTGACAAGAAAACGACACACGCCCAAAAAAGTGCATGCTTTGTTAATATTATTTGAAAAATTGTTTTGGATCAGTTATTTTATCCCGAGAATGGTATCGTGGAGGGGTCGCGGTCTTTTTTCATTCAATAGCCACCCAGATTTATGGCAATCGTGCCCAACAAAGTTAAGAAGACTCGCCATAAATGTAAGTGCACTGAACATTAGAAGCATTTTACGACTGGCCCCAAGAGAAACTGTGAGTTTTATTTCACCGAGACCCCCAGTGTTCCCCGAGGTCGAGGGGAAACAAAACTCACTGTTTCTCGTGAGGCCAGTCATTAAGTGTTTTGTTATATCTTCCAACTCAAAACTAGAACAAAGAGCCAAAAGAATTATATGCTTTACGCCGGCTGGCACACAAAGTTGCCGCAGTTTCAAGGTGAACTTCTTCATCATGCACGTGCGAGTCGAAAGCTCAGGTTGCGGTTTCTCAAGGGAGTTTTTGAGTTTTGTTGGCCATAGGATGTGATTGCGTTTTGACGCATAACACGTGACACATGAGCGTATTTGAGTTGAGATGTATAGCAATATAATACTTCCATTATGTCTTTAAAACATTTGAAACCGCGTGACACCTTTTTTAGTTCAGGCATTTGTAATTCTCTTATTCTAGATTCGTTTATTAATCAGATGATTGTATTAAGAAAGAACGATATTTTTGCATAGTTTTGATTTCAGATCGAATAAAATACACGAGTCATTCTTCGGTCCTTCTTGTCTACATTTTCTGGATATTAAACACCTCTAACGCTCTCCACCAATCAAACGAAGCCTGTTTGTTTGTTTACTTATTTGTTTATTTCGAAATAATTAAGCTAACAAAGACAAGTGCGTTTTCCTGCCCTTCGCTTCAGTTGCGTTTTTTGTTTCGTTTTTCCTTTGGTTTACTGCGTTATTGCTTTCGCAGAACGCAGCTCATAATCCTGGGTGTCCTGTGGTTTTAAGGGTAACCCATTTTGAGATTTTTCGACCTACGTGGTCTATAGTTTATTTATATGTTCACGAACACGACTTCGAATCGCCATGGTTTTGGGTTGTTAACCGTGGGAACAGCTATATTTCATTGCCTGTAGTTTGATCGCATTTGTTGATTAGTTAATTCCAGATAGCTCAGTGTCCAGTCGAATATTGTTTGGAATCGGTGGAAAAGTACTCTGAAGGTAAGATCCATAAGAGCGAGCCTGAACCAAGGAACGGTCATCTAAATATTTTCTACTTTTATTCATCAGGGGAAATATTCAAATCAGTCGCGTGGAGTTTGTTTACGATAAACGAGCACGTGATTCCAAATGTTTGCTTGTGTTTGTGTTTCCCGCTTAGAATAATGTACATAAAAATATACTTTTACAAAATAGTTTTTACGCATAAAAAATATTTAGCACGAGATTTGAAGGCTTATGTAAATATTTTTGTGTCCTGAAACTGGCCCCGTCACGCAACGTATCAACAAATAGTAGCTTTGACTCTATGATAGTGACGGCGTCGAACGCACCCGTAATCTTTAATAACTACTAGTTGTATTTATTGGGATTAGTTAGTCGTAGAACCAACGAGTATCAAAATCCGTTATAAATCGTCAGCCGGAAGTTGAAATCTTGTATAACTGGCTTGACCTCTGATTGCTTGAGTGAAACATGACGTCTGCTCACGTGACTACTCACGTAACATCTTTTGTAGTGCTTGTACTCAAACAGCGGTCATACGCAATTCCGATTTTCGTCGTCATGACTTCAGTCAAAGTTTAAAGAATCAAAAACTTCATTATCCTGTCATGTTAAAACATGACAGGATAATGCTGATGGAGCGCAATTATGTAAACGTTGCTAGTTCTTTGCTTGTACTATTTCTCAATTCTGAGCTTTTTCCATGTAGTTGAGTATTTCTTCTACGCATTGACAGTGTTGGCTCCAACGGCACACGCGCCTTTAATGTGGCTTGCGCTATTTCTATTTGATAACGACATTATGAAAACCTTGATGCTTCTATTATGTGTATGAGGGTTTCCACTTCCGTATCCCGCGGGTACATCACAGACCCTAAACGTCTCTTGTTCAAACGGCACAAACCCGGCTCTTACATAGGTTTACAACTAACTCCAACCTGTGATATGTTTCCTCCATCGTTTTCACGCCAATAAATGTCCACAATAGTTTTAATGACTAACAAAGGTACACAGAGCATGGAGGCAACCGTGATCATCCCACTGCCTCCCCCCACGGGGGATACAGTAGGGGATCTCGGTAGACCCTAGTTCAAATCTTCGGTCAGTTGGGACTTTTAAGACTAATTTGTTTATTTGAAATATACCTTTCTTTCAGTTTAAGGGGCAGGCGTATCGTCCACTGAAAACAACAACATTTGAATATATATATATATTTTGAAACTCCTCCCTCCCCCTCCCATTTTTAGGAGCAAAATCATTCTCGCGATGAACCTACCGAAGATAAACCAATGAGTTCAGACTTAAAACTTGGAGAAGTGTCTTCTTTATCAATCTCCTATAACATCACAATTTCTTGACTCTATCCACTGAATGGTTTACGAGTAACTTTTCATTGCGTCAGGATTGCGTGAAAGTGCAAGTTAACAATGTACAACAGTATATTGATCAAGAACTGAACAATTAATTTTTGTGAGTAATATACCTGTTTGCTTATTCGCAGAAAATGCACTTTAGAGGTTAGTTTTTAATCCACTCATTGTCATCTTTAGATTTTTCTGCGTGACTGAAACCCGTCACTTCAATATTTAAGGCTGTTACTTGTTGTCAAATTTGACTTTTAAAAACGCAAGTGAGTTGCAAAATAAAAGGCTAAACACAGCCTGTCACAAAATAGCTACAAATATTTGAGTCTCCAAGGGATACTTTCCAGTTCCCTTAGAAAAAGATAAGTAAATAAGGTGTCTTGTATCTATATAGCGTGGTTGAAACTCACGTATTTCCAAAATCAATAGCACTAAACGCCGTCAAACAGAATGCAAGCGTTACTCTGAACCGTAGCATTATGTCCTGATCTGACCAATGGTAGTATATATACAGTGAGATATTGATCATGGACCTAACAATTAATTTTTGTGAGTTACATACCTGTCTTGCTTATTCGCAGAAAAATGCGCTTTAGAGGTTAGTTTTTAATCTACTATTGTCACCTTAAGATTTTTCTGCGTGACGGAAACCCGTCACTTCAACCTTCTAAGCCTGTTATGCGTTATCAAATTTCATTTAAACGCAAGAACAGAGTGCTCGGACACCAACAAAATAAAATGCTAAAAACAGCCTGTCACGGATAGATCTGCATCCCAGTCCCCTGTTATAAAATAAATAAATAAATAAATAAATAAATAAATAAGGTGTCTTGAATCCGCAAGCTGTACAGCGAGTTTGAAACTCATATTTCCAAAATCAGAGTAGCACCAAACGGCGTCAATCAGTAAGTCAATTCAAAGTCGGTTTTGTATATGTCTTTCGTAGCTAAAATTGATCAACCCACAAGTTGCCTGAACCATATCTATCTACCTGTCTTCACAGGTATCTTACATTAGGAACGCAACTGAAGAATGTCTTACACAGGAATTTCCGAACTCACTCTATTACCTCGTGTCCATGACTGTAGTCATGTGGACACGTCGCTTAACCCTCTAGGTCCTGTCGGTGCACAGGATACGACCCATCCTCGGATACTCACGAGTAGCTAGCAGGAGCGAGCGAAAATCAAAGCTGCAGGGAAAAAATTGGCGAAGAAAAGTTGCAGTGAATTAGCGAGGAGCCCTTAGGCCTTGGGGACGGAGTCTTACCAGTTGCCGGCTTACCAGTCTTGCCCACTGAGAATCCAGCATTCACAGAGCTGTTTGGGGCCAAAAGCTTCTCTTACTATCTCTACAACTTTCCTTCGCCGATTTTTCACCGCCATTTTGTCTTCCTTTGCCCCACTTACTGCCCCTGGGTCTCCGAAGGTGCATGTACGACCATGCTAGGTAAATGGACATCAAACTGATCTACTAACATTTCAGTTTACTGCTGAGCTTGAGATCCGCCTCGTATAAAATCATCACTTCTATGTGCGATCTTCGCGGCAACTTCAGAGATTTGTTATGCTTGCGTGACCGTATGTGTGAGAAAAGCAAGTACAGTTCCCTGTGTACTTTTCGCAGAAAAAGAGGCAACTTGCCAACTGTATCAATGACAATCTTACCTACTTATCCGGTCTTACCCAGGAGGAATTGGGAAAAATTCGTTAATTGAAACTTAGAGAAGGTGATCGTCTTTCTTGTCTTTCTTTTTCATTCCATTTTCTGGAGACAAATACGTTTTTCTCGCTCACTTTTCCCACAGTTCTCAAGAACATATCGTGGACTGTAGAACAAAAAAAAAGGAGTTAGTCACGCACACCACCCCTGAAGGGAACCCTTTATTCGAATGCCGAAATCGGATCAAGACTCTTCTGGTCTAAAAAGTCTCGTGATCGGTGGAGCCACTTCACACCTCTAGCCGCATAAAAACCCAACTTAAATTGCTCTACCAGTGAACACAGTCCACTGTAGTGATAAATTTCGATAAAGCGTCGCCTTCTTTAAGCGCGCATATCCGCCTACCACAATAAAGTTCCTGCCTTGGTGTTCATCACAGATTTCAGTTCATAGGATTTTACGCAAGATCCACAGGTTTGTTTGTTTGATTGATTTTGTAGTCCTATTTTCAAGTCACATGTTCACAAAGCAGTGTCTAGTTGTTAACATTCCGTTTGTCCCATGGGTGGCCTGTACTTCATTAAAAACGTAACGAGACGGTTGAAACAACGAAAACCAAACGAAATCAACAAAACATGGGAACCAGTTATCACAATTAAAAGCTAACCCTTAGGCTCTTACAGGGGGTTATTCAACCGAAGTCCAAGAAGACTGTATACCTGATAATACCTGCAGTCCTGCACTCGGGTTGGTTTGAAGACAAACCGAAAGGCCCCAAAATATTGCTTACGTTAGCCTGTTGACGGTACGTCAGCGCTCACTGCATGACAATGGTCTCTAATCACGATTTCGTTGGTTTCGTTTCGTTTCGCTCGTTCCGGTCGTGTCGTTCATTGTCTCGGGTTTTTGTACATACAGTCGTCATGAGCATCTGAATAAGAAAGAAGTCAGTAGTTTCTGGGGACGTCGCCCGCGTTACGCTTAAGTTGAGTCAACTCAGTCGATTTAAGTTTGGTTCAACGTTAATTTTGTTCTCTTTAACCATGTTGTACTTCTATTTTATTTGACCTTTTCAAGTTTTGGTTCTTCCTAACGTGGCAGATCTGAGTAATCGGATTGATTTCACTTCATCCACATTTTTCCAGAGCGGCTTTTGGGATCGATTTAGGATGTAGAGGAATCTCACTTGACCGTTTTTTCTTTTTTTTCAGAATAGATTCACGGTTCACATGCAACGCAATGCAAATCACAGCAATGTGCGTAAGAATAGTCTCGAATAACTATGGCGTGAGCAAACTAAGCGTCAAGCGATCGTGTTACACGTCTGTTGAAATTCTATCCGCAAGACGATCCGACAGTGATCGTCGCCCGAATTCCGACGATTCCAGAAAGCTAAACTTTCTGGACGTATTTCTGCACTGGAACAAATCAAAAGGCCCTTTTAGCCTGCCTTATTCACTTGTTTTAGAGCGCAGAGAAATCCACTGCTTAAAGGCATCACCCTAAAGGGCGTCACGCTAAAAGGTATCATGCCAAAAGCCATCAAGCTTATAGGCATCACGCTAAAAGGCATCTCGAGGAAAAGCATCACGCAAAAGCGTATCATGCGAAAAGTCATTACGTTTAAAAAGGCTTCACGCTAAAATTCATCACGCTTTAATAAGGCATCCCACGAAATGGTATCACGCTTTAAGGCATCACGCGAAAAGGCATCGCGCAGAAAGGCATCACGTGAAAAGGTACCACGCTTAATAGTATCACGCGAAAAGGCATCAGGCAAGAAGAAATTTTAACGCTTCTGCTTGTATCTTTACACGTGCTCTTCCTCTTGCACCAGAATAAAGGAAAGGTGTAGCTGCAGTAGTGAATTCATGTTCAAGAGGTTCTTGTACTATTGCCAAAGTCCTACCAAGAACGCACAGGCCTTGTCTACCATCTTGGAAAACACTCGTCGATCTCAAAAGGACCTCATGCATATGTTTTAAACGGAAAGAAACGCAAACGTATTTCGAGTCCATTGCTCACTTGCTGTATTAACTCTCTCAAGGCATGCCTCGGATACTGAATAAAGACCTCGCGAGGGGACAAATTAAAGACGGAATGTCTCGCTCAAAAACCATTTTGAGAAAGCTATTATCTCACAAGAAACGAGTGAGAAGAGTAAGTCCCGAACTCAATATAATTTTTGTAACGGTGCCTTTCTGCGTGATGCCTTTTAGCGTGATGCCTTTAAGCCTGATGCCTTTTCACATGATGCCTTTCTGCGTGATGCCTTTTCGCGTAATGCCTTTTCGCGTGATGTTTTTCAGCGTGATGCCTTTTAGCTTTTAATATCATAATCTCTCGGTTTCGGGTGATTGGATCACTTGCTCACATTAATGCAAGTACTTGTACGCTAGTAGCGTGACACTCGTACTATACCTCATGATTTAAATAAATTGTAAAGGAACAGAATACAAGCGTTACACTTCTGGTATCACTACGATTTAATTCGATTTGACCTGATGCCCTCACAGGTGGCCCAAGCTCAGTATGTGAGCTTCAAAATATCGATATACAGTGTTAGAGTTCAACTCTAATTTTAAAATATATGGAGCGTAGTTAATAATTAGTCATGACCTTTGTTGTAAGAGATTGTATGAGAAATACTGCTGTCGCTTTAAATTGCATGTAATTACACGATAAAATTTTCCTTTAAACTCATCTTAGTTGTCTTCTTGACCTTTCTTGTGATTTTACATTGAAAAAGCTTTTTAGCGGTGGGTTAAGACCGTTTGCGAGTAGGTTGGTTTTCCACCCTAAGAAGCGAAATCCCTCTCTGGCCGAACCAAGTTCACTTTCGGCGGCGAAAAAACTACCATTAGTTGTTGGTTTTTAATCCGCTTATTGCGATCTTTAGATTTGTCCGTGTGACTAAAACCCGTCGCTTCAACGTTTCAGCCTGTTATTTGTTCCCAAAAAAAATTATATCGCGAGCGAGTTGTGCTCGTGGGCTCAGTCACAAAATCAATAGCACAAACGGCCGTCAATTCAACGTTGTATGCCTGTCTTTTATAACAAAAGTGATTGTAACCCGCGAGTTTTCAGAACCGCCATTCACACTAATCTTACATTAAGCGGCAAAGAATTGTTATACAGGAATTTCTTAAACAAGAGTGTAACGATAGCCAACGTATACCTCGTGTCCACGTGACTTTGGTGATGTGGACACGAGGCAAAAACTAGTGAAGAAAGGCCATTCTTGAAATACCAGTTCCTCCTTTACATTGACAGTATAAACATTGATTTTTAAATCAACAGTACTGTGAAATAAATTATTTCTTTCATTCTTTACCTAGATTGATCAATAACAGATTACTCTCATGGAAAGCACAACACCAGCAACTTCATCCACCAAAGAGACGACCAACTACGCATGCTTGTGTCGTCTTCTGATTGATGTTGGTAACCAGGCCCTCAGGGACACACTTGATGCCATTCACGCGCCAGCAAATCTTCACGCAGTTTTGGCGGCAAATAAACCCACTTTACAGGGTCTCAGATCGAGAAGAATTATCAGTGCCACGCAATGGGGCAAGCTCTTTCCTGTCATTCATTTGGCAGTGTCCTCGAAAGATTTTGACATCACTCTTTTGATGGTTCTGCTGCGAAATTTGTGCGGTTTGCCATCTCCAATAACCGGATGGGACACACTTCCCGCTGCAACGGACATGACTCGTGAGGCGGATATTGCTCGTATTAAGTACTTTAGAAACATTGTGTACGCGCATGCCGAACAAGCTTCGGTTGATGACACAACGTTTAACGCGTACTGGCAAGACATCCGGGACACTCTGGTGAGACTGGGAGGTGATAGGTACAGGGCACCTATTGACAATCTGGAAACTGAGTGCATGGACCCTGAAATTGAAGATCACTACAAACAACTTCTCAGTGAATGGAAAAAGGACGAGGACAACATCAAAGATGAGCTGAAAGAGATTGGAACCACGATGAAAGATGTCATGAAAAAACTTGATGATTTAACAGCAGCAACTGTGACGGCTAACCGAAAGGAATCGAGTGATGAAGGTGAGCTTTAATAACTCTTATATGTTTTCGAGGTTACCTATATCAATAACGTTCGTCAACTCCATCGTACTTCAGACAGAGAGGTTGAGTACTCCCAGGAAGGGGATATACTCTGTAATGTAAGTTATCTAGGTATATATAGTCTAAGAGAATGATTATTGAGATGGTTTGGTCTGAAATTGGGCATAGCTTCAATTTGGAACAGTGTTGTTAANCGGGCGCCTGTTCGCAGGCTACGAGAAAATATGCGTTCTAAATTCAAGAACTCTGTCCAAATAGAAAAGCTGTGACTAACATTTCGCTATTATAGCAATATTTAGGGAAGCAAATTCAAACTCAAGGTTCAGTGTTTGTATTTAGACAGGTTTTCTCCCGCTTAATTCGACTTGTTAAAAGGAAATCTCGTAAGCTGGGCTATTATCACGAAGAAAAAGCAAAAAAAATGAATTTGCGCTAAAGAAACTCGCTTATACAGTCCTGTTTCTCATTACTCGAAGGCACATTTTGTTGTCTTTATTTCTAACGACGACTTCAAGCTTCATGCATGACTGGTCACGCCGCTCAATTTTGAGCCAATCACGAGTCCCGTTATATAAAAAATACATTACAATAATTTATGAATTGGGTTCGACACATGAGGCGAACGCCGTATGAATCAGCTGCCGCTCCAACGTCGCATAGTGCGACAGACTCTGCCGAATTTAATGTTGTTTGCCGCACCAAACCTAACCTGCCGAACCAAACTGATTCAAACGCCGCTCTACTGCCGTATTTAACTCATCAGTTAGGTTCGGCGCATGAATGGAACGGCGTTTGGAACGGGCCTAACCCTTAGGCTCTGACAGGAGGCTATTCAACCGGAGTCCATTAAGAAGACTGTATACCTGATCATACCTTCAGTCCTGCACTCGGGTTGGTTTGAAGACTAACCAAAACGTCTCAAAATAACATGTCTACGTTAGCTCTTATTGACAGTGGCTTCTCTAATCACGGTTTCGTTGATTCATTTCGCGCGTTTCGGCTGTTTCGTTTCGGTCGGTCGGTGGTTTCGTTTAATTGTCTCGGGTTTTGTACATACAGTCTTCATGGGCATCTGAATAAAAAAGAAGTCAGTAGTTTCTGGAGACGGAGCCCGCGTTACGCTCAAGTCGAGTCAACTCAGTCGATTTAAGTTCGATTCAACGTTAATTTTGTTCTTCTCTTTAACCATGTTGTAATTCTATTTTATTTGACCTTTTCAAGTTTTGGTTCTTATGTTCCTAGCGTGGCAGATCTGAGTAGTCGGATTGATATCAGTTCATCCACATTTTTTTCCAGAGCGGCCTGCAGGATCGGTTTAGGATGTAGAGGAATCTCACTTGACCGTTTTTTTCAGAATAGATTCACGGTTCACATGCAATGCAATGCAAATCCTAGCAATGCGCGTGAGCATAGTCTTTGCTAACTATGGCGTGAGCAAACTAAGCGTCAAGCGATCGTGTTACGCGTCTGTTGAAATCTTATCCGCAAGACGATCCGACCAGTGAAAGTCGCCCGAATTCCGACGATTCCAGAAAGCTAAATTTTCTGGACGTATTTCTCCACTGGAACAAATCAAAAGGCCCTTTTAGCCTGCCTTATTCACTTGTTTTAGAGTGCAGAGAAATCCACTGCTTAAAGGCATCACTCTAAAAGGCGTCACGCCAAAAGACATCATGCCAAAAGCCATAACGCTTATAGGCATCACGCTAAAAGGCATCTCGAGGAAAAGCATCACGCAAAAGCGTATCATGCGAAAAGTCATTACGTTTAAAAAGGCTTCACGCTAAAATTCATCACGCTTTAATAAGGCATCCCACGAAATGGTATCACGCTTTAAGGCATCACGCGAAAAGGCACCGCGCAGAAAGGCATCACGTGAAAAGGTACCACGCTTAATAGGAGCACGCGAAAAGGCATCAGGCAAGAAGAAATTTTAACGCTTCTGCTTGTATCTCTACACGTGGTCTTCCTCTTGCACCAGAATAAAGGAAAGGTGCTGCTGCAGTAGTGAATTCGTGTTCAGGAGGTTCTTGTACTATTGCCAATGTCCTACAAAGAACGCACAGCCCTTGTCTACCATCTTGGAAAATACTCGTCGATCTCAAAAGGACCTCATGTATATGTTCTAAACGGAAAGAAACGCAATCGTATTTTGATTCCATTGCTCACTTGCTGTATTAACTTTCTCAAGGCATGCCTCAGATACTGAATAAAGACCTCGCGAGGGGACAAATTAAAGACGGAATGTTTCGCTCAAAAACCATTTTGAGAAAGCTATTATCTCACAAGAAACGAGTGAGAAGAGTAAGTCCCGAACTCAATATATTTTTTGTAACGGTGCCTTTCTGCGTGATGCCTTTTTGCGTGATGCCTTTAAGCCTGATGCCTTTTCGAATGATGCCTTTCTGCGTGATGCCTTTTCGCGTAATGCCTTTTCGCGTGATGTCTTTCAGCGTGATGCCTTCTAGCTTTTAATATCATAATCTCTCGGTTTCGGGTGATTGGATCACTTGCTCACATTAACGCAAGTACGCTAGTAGCGTGACACTCGCACTATACCTCATGCTTTAAATAAATTGTTAAGGAACAGAATACAAGCGTAACACTTCTGGTATCACTATGATTTAATTCGATATGGCCTGATGCCCTCATAGGTGGCCCAAGCTTAGTATGTGAGCTTCAAAATATCAATATACAGTGTTAGAGTTCAACTCTAATTTTAAAATATACGGAGCGTAGTTAATAATTAGTCGTGACCTTTGTTGTAAGAGATTGTATGAGAAATACTGCTGTCGCTTTAAATTGCATGTAATTACACGATAAAATTTTTCTTTAAACTCACCTTAGTTGTCTTCTTGACCTTTCTTGTGATTNAAATTCATCACGCTTTAATAAGGCATCCCACGAAATGGTATCACGCTTTAAGGCATCACGCGAAAAGGCATCGCGCAGAAAGGCATCACGTGAAAAGGTACCACGCTTAATAGTATCACGCGAAAAGGCATCAGGCAAGAAGAAATTTTAACGCTTCTGCTTGTATCTTTACACGTGCTCTTCCTCTTGCACCAGAATAAAGGAAAGGTGTAGCTGCAGTAGTGAATTCATGTTCAAGAGGTTCTTGTACTATTGCCAAAGTCCTACCAAGAACGCACAGGCCTTGTCTACCATCTTGGAAAACACTCGTCGATCTCAAAAGGACCTCATGCATATGTTTTAAACGGAAAGAAACGCAAACGTATTTCGAGTCCATTGCTCACTTGCTGTATTAACTCTCTCAAGGCATGCCTCGGATACTGAATAAAGACCTCGCGAGGGGACAAATTAAAGACGGAATGTCTCGCTCAAAAACCATTTTGAGAAAGCTATTATCTCACAAGAAACGAGTGAGAAGAGTAAGTCCCGAACTCAATATAATTTTTGTAACGGTGCCTTTCTGCGTGATGCCTTTTAGCGTGATGCCTTTAAGCCTGATGCCTTTTCACATGATGCCTTTCTGCGTGATGCCTTTTCGCGTAATGCCTTTTCGCGTGATGTTTTTCAGCGTGATGCCTTTTAGCTTTTAATATCATAATCTCTCGGTTTCGGGTGATTGGATCACTTGCTCACATTAATGCAAGTACTTGTACGCTAGTAGCGTGACACTCGTACTATACCTCATGATTTAAATAAATTGTAAAGGAACAGAATACAAGCGTTACACTTCTGGTATCACTACGATTTAATTCGATTTGACCTGATGCCCTCACAGGTGGCCCAAGCTCAGTATGTGAGCTTCAAAATATCGATATACAGTGTTAGAGTTCAACTCTAATTTTAAAATATATGGAGCGTAGTTAATAATTAGTCATGACCTTTGTTGTAAGAGATTGTATGAGAAATACTGCTGTCGCTTTAAATTGCATGTAATTACACGATAAAATTTTCCTTTAAACTCATCTTAGTTGTCTTCTTGACCTTTCTTGTGATTTTACATTGAAAAAGCTTTTTAGCGGTGGGTTAAGACCGTTTGCGAGTAGGTTGGTTTTCCACCCTAAGAAGCGAAATCCCTCTCTGGCCGAACCAAGTTCACTTTCGGCGGCGAAAAAACTACCATTAGTTGTTGGTTTTTAATCCGCTTATTGCGATCTTTAGATTTGTCCGTGTGACTAAAACCCGTCGCTTCAACGTTTCAGCCTGTTATTTGTTCCCAAAAAAAATTATATCGCGAGCGAGTTGTGCTCGTGGGCTCAGTCACAAAATCAATAGCACAAACGGCCGTCAATTCAACGTTGTATGCCTGTCTTTTATAACAAAAGTGATTGTAACCCGCGAGTTTTCAGAACCGCCATTCACACTAATCTTACATTAAGCGGCAAAGAATTGTTATACAGGAATTTCTTAAACAAGAGTGTAACGATAGCCAACGTATACCTCGTGTCCACGTGACTTTGGTGATGTGGACACGAGGCAAAAACTAGTGAAGAAAGGCCATTCTTGAAATACCAGTTCCTCCTTTACATTGACAGTATAAACATTGATTTTTAAATCAACAGTACTGTGAAATAAATTATTTCTTTCATTCTTTACCTAGATTGATCAATAACAGATTACTCTCATGGAAAGCACAACACCAGCAACTTCATCCACCAAAGAGACGACCAACTACGCATGCTTGTGTCGTCTTCTGATTGATGTTGGTAACCAGGCCCTCAGGGACACACTTGATGCCATTCACGCGCCAGCAAATCTTCACGCAGTTTTGGCGGCAAATAAACCCACTTTACAGGGTCTCAGATCGAGAAGAATTATCAGTGCCACGCAATGGGGCAAGCTCTTTCCTGTCATTCATTTGGCAGTGNCAACGTTGTATGCCTGTCTTTTATAACAAAAGTGATTGTAACCCGCGAGTTTTCAGAACCGCCATTCACAGTAATCTTACATTAAGCGGCAAAGAATTGTTACACAGGAATTTCTTAAACAAGAGTGTAACGTTAGCCAACGTATACCTCGTGTCCACGTGACTTTGGTGATGTGACACGAGGCAAAAACTAGTGAAGAAAGGCCATTCTTGAAATACCAGTTCCTCTTTTACATTGACAGTATAAACATTGATTTTTAAATCAACAGTACTGAGAAATAAATTATTTCTTTCATTCTTTACCTAGATTGATCAATAACAGATTACTCTCAACACCAGCAACTTCATCCACCAAAGAGACGACCAACTACGCACGGTTGTGTCGTCTTCTGATTGATGTTGGTAACCAGGCCCTCAGGGACACACTTGATGCCATTCACGCGCCAACAAATCTTCACACAGTTTTGGCGGCAAATAAACCCACTTTACAGGGTCTCAGATCGAGAAGAATTATCAATGCTACGCAATGGGGCAAGCTCTTTCCTGTCATTCATTTGGCAGTGTCCTCGAGAGATTTTGACATCACTCTTTTGATGGTTCTGCTGCGAAATTTGTGCGGTTTGCCATCGCCAATAACCGGATGGGACACACTTCCCGCTGCAACGGACATGACTCGTGAGGCGGATATTGCTCGTATTAAGTACTTTAGAAACACCGTGTACGCGCATGCCGAGCAAGCTTCGGTTGATGACACAACGTTCAACGCGTACTGGCAAGACATCCGGGACACTCTGGTGAGACTGGGAGGTGATAGGTACAGGGCACCTATTGACAATCTGGAAACTGAGTGCATGGACCCTGAAATTGAAGATCACTACAAACAACTTCTCAGTGAATGGAAAAAGGACGAGGACAGCATTAAAGATGAGCTAAAAGAGATCGGAACCGAGATCAGAGATGTCAAGAAAATACTTCATGATTTAACAGCAGCAACTGTGACTAACAGAGAGGAATCAAATGATGGAGGTGAGTTGAGTGGGGCCCCCCATTAATGTAAGCTATGTATGTAGTTATACCATGCCAAAGAAAATACAGCTAATCAGAATACAAGAAAGCCGTTGTATATTCGACGATATAACACTTGACCTTCCCATCGTGCGCCGCGCGTATTTCCCATTGATTTTGCTGGCCACTGAATTTTCTATGGCGTGGTATAAAATAGTTATGCAACACTCTCTCATGATATACCATAGAATGTCCAACTTGTCAATTGTTTTTCTTGGTATACACACTAATTTTCAAGGAGTTAAAGCAGTTAAAATAACTCCTAAAGTAGAGTTTAATTAACTTTCCCTAGTGGAGTTAATTAGGGGGAAATCACATAGTTCCAAAAGAAAGTTATTTTAACTCAAAATTTGACTTATTTAGTAGTCGTAGAGTTAATTTAACTCTGCTTAATGGAGTTATTTTTTGGAGTCATTTTAACTCTAATTGAGAGCTAAATATAACTCCTGCTAGGAGTAAATTTCAAGAAGGAGTAATTTCAACTCTCTGTAGTGACTTAATATAACTCGCTTTTGGAGATATCTGATAGGGAGTATTTTAACTCTCGCTGGACACGAATGAGAGGAATTCATAAAAAGTAAAAAGGGTGCTTCGTTATTCAAGTAAATTGGGGCCGATTTCGTCTTGAAATTTATATTTCTATAACTGAGTGGTGCCACTCTTACAGGTTTTTATTTTGTGAGATCTTAAATTGGTACATCTTGCGGGTGGCGGAAATTTTCCCAGATCTTTAAGGATGTGTACCATGATGAGTGACTACAATCTCAAGGAACTTTAGATTACCAATGTAAAAAGTTACTTTTGCTTTGTGTCTTTATTGTCGTCCAAAAACATAGCGATATCTTTTTTATATATATCTCTTACTAACCGAGTTCGAGGTCCGTATACAAGAGCGAGTATTTGCCCCCTTCGATTTATTGCCCAACCGAGAAGGGTGCGGGCCATAAATCGAAGAGGAAAAAAACTAGGATCCGTAACTTACAGTACGGACACAGAAAACAAGGTTAATAAGATATTATTATATCTCTCAGCTTCTGACGGGTTCGGAAACGATTTCTATTCACGGGGAACGACTTCTAACGAACAAATAAATAAGCGCCTCGTCCCTAGTAAGCACTTTTTCTTCAATAAGCATCCTCCTGTAAGCTACCAAAAGTAAATTAATTCCTCGGATCCCAAATTGAATTATTATAGTATGTTTGTGTAATGTAAGCTAAGCTTAATCGAGCTAGAAAATAACTTGGGAACCAAAATACGATGATAGTGGTGGTAATCAGCAATAGACGAGGCATACAACTTTGGCCCAACAACGAGAAAAAGAAAAAACAAGCTTGTACAATATCTTGCATACTCTTATAAACTTATCCAGGGTCACGACTGGATTTTAGTTTGCCTGATTTATTCCTCCAATCAAATTCAACCCCGATCGGGCCTCTTGAATTTGTTTCTCTAAGTTTAAATTAATTTACAGAATAACAACAACACTTACCTTTGCAATTGGGACCCAGTGGAATTCATCGATGACGAAAAACCTACAGCTTTTGAAAAACCTAAACTGTTCACAGTCTCTCTAACATTCAACACACGCGAAAGAAAAACCGGACGAAGCACGAGGGAGTAGGGGCGGTGAGGCGAGTGAATATTTATCTCGATCCCCACCCCCTACCCTGTCAAGTCTCTTGTTTTGCGCTGGTGTCCCGTTCTCTCGAGATTCTATCCGTGCGTTCAACGATCTAATAATAATATGAGAACGACGAAGGGCTGTGAACAGTCTATCGAAATTCTTACTAATTATACCACAGGAAAAAGACACTAATGATATTTTTTGGTCTAGCACTTAGTGCAAGCGAACAAGGTACAAGTTCCAAACTGGAAGAATTGGTGGAGACCTCTATCACGTGTAGAGAGAAACATCACGAAAATAAGCCTCTCATTTACTATTGTCAGAACTGCAAAGTTTGCATTTGCGACAAGTGTGGACAAACACGTCATACAAATCACACCATGGTGGATATCAAGCAAGCCGCCGAAGAACAAAAACTAAAGATGACGGAGCTTGTGCAGAAAATGAAAGTAGAGATTACAGAGCACACGACCCAAATGGAGAAAACAACAGAAATGTTGAAGAAGAACGGAGAGAAAATTGCTGCCGCTCGAAACAAAGTGTTAACCACTGTTGAAGAACTCATTCGAGTGTTAAAGGAGCACGAGATCGCCATGGTGACCGAGTTAGATGTTATTGAAGACGAACAGCAAAGAGAGCACTCAGTACAGATGGAACACTTTCAGGTAACTGCCACGCAACTGAAAACGTCTGTGGAACATTGCCAAAGAATTTTACAACGAAACAACAGCGTTGAAATTCTTGAAGGGCAGCAGGGTGTCATGGAAAAGTGCAAGGGTCTCCTAAATGCGAGGAAAATGAACATTTATAAACCATCGCATGTTCAATACAAGACAATTGAAGAGAATATCCAAAGTGTTAGACACGCGTTTCTGGGTGAAGTTGTGGTCAGTACAACTGATCCTCGGCAATCAGTGGCGGAAGGGAAAGGCTTAAAACAAGCAGAAGCTGGAAGAGAAGCTGGCCTAACAATCACGACAAAGAACACAGAGGGACAACAATGTTACAATGAAATCGATCAGATTTTCGTCAAGGTTTGCGCTTCGTCGGAGGAAGACCTCGACACCAACATTGCAGACAACGGAGATGGTAAATATAGCGTCACCTACACACCCGAATGTGACAGACATCATGAGGTGGTGATTGAAGTTAATGGTCAACCGCTGACTAGTAGTCCATGGAGTGTTCACGTGAAGCC